AAGGAGGAGCTAGATAATAAACAAGAGGATTATAGTGAGAGCAGATAAAGATAGATCACGACTGTTGGTATTTGGCGACTTTAACTTGAAATCCACAGACTGGGAGGTATATGAAGCTAGAACAGAGGACTTTTGAACCTGTAGATTCGTAGACCTCATCCTGGAAACATAGTTGTATCAACATGCTAAACAATATATGAGGATGAGGGAGGGGGATGTTACCTCCATGCTAGATTTTATATTTACCAGGAAAGAGGAAGAGATATTTGACATTCAGTACCTTCCTCCCTTGGGTAAAAGTGGCCATGTCTTTCTGGGAATAAATTATGCAATGCGTTATAAACTGGAAGAAAATAAGGATGTTGAGGCAGTTGAAAAACCTGACTTCAGGAGAGGACATTATAGGGACCTTAGAATTTTTTTAACGAGTATAACTGGACAGACTCGTTGCTAGGCAAGGAAGTAAATGAGATGTACTGTCAAGTTTTGTGAAATACTGTATATGATAAAGGCACAAAATTTTTTATACCAAAGCAGAGATGCAGAACCAGGAAACAGAATTGGTTCAACAGAAATTGTGAGAGGGCCAGAGACCAAAAGACACAAAAATGGAATCAATATAGGAAAAGGCCAAATCCCCAAACATACCAGTGATACAAAGATGCGAGAAACCCCGCAGCCCTCGCGGTGTAGTGGTTAAGACCCTCGCCTTGCGTTTCGCAAGCGCTTTGTCCTGGGTTCGTATCCTGGCCGGGGAGGATTTACTTGTCACAAATTTTTAACTGTAGCCTCTGTTTAACTCGACCATAAAATGAGTACTTGGTTGTTAAACGATTTTTTGCGGGGTCATATTCCAGGTAACATAGGATTAAGGACTTGCCTGAAACGCTGCGCATATGAGTGGCTGTACAAGAATGTAAGAACTCATATATACTGTGTAAATAAATAAAAAATAATAAAATAAAAATAAACTACTACAGGCAGTATGGAGAGGGGCAGAAAGAAAATTTTAAAAAAGGATTTTGGACAAATGTAGAACAGAACCAGGACTATTCTATAAATTCATAAACAACAAATTGCAGGTAAAGGATAATATTCAGAGGTTGAAAATGAGAAACATTCACAGAAAAAGAAATGTGTGAAACACTAAACAAAAGTTCCAAAGTGTGTTCGTACAAAATGAAATCTTCAGGGGAACCAGACACAATAAGAATTCCAGAGAACAACATAGAGCACATAGAGGTAGGTGTCTAGAGATGAAGTGGAAAAAATGCTCAAGGAACTAAGAAAGAAAAAAGCAGTTGGTCCAGATGGAGTTTCACCATGGGTTCTGAGAGAATGTGCACCTGAGCTCAGTATCCCACTTCAACTGATTTTTTCAGACATCCCTGTGTACAGGTGTCGTAGCAAATGTGTGTAAAAAGGCTAACATAGTTCCAATCTACAAAAGTGGCAGGAGGGATGACCCCCTCAATTATAGACCTGTATCATTGACAAGTGTAATAGTCAAAATATTGGAAAAAATAATTAAAACTAAATGGGTAGAACACCTGGAGAAAAACGATATAATATCAGACTATGATTTTCGATCTGGAAGACCCTGTGTAATGAATTTACTCAGTTTCTATGATCAAGCCACAGAGATTTTATAGGAAAGAGATGGTTGGGTTAACTGCATCTATCTGGACCTAAAAAAGGCTTTTGACAGAGTTCCACATAAGAGGTTATTCTGGAAACTGGAAAATATTGGTGGGGTGACAGGTAAGCGTCTAACATAGATGAAAAATTTTCTAAGTGATAGAAAAATGAGGGCTGTGATCAGAGGCAATGTATCGGATTGGAGGAAGGTCACAAGTGGAGTACCACAGGGTTCAGTTCTTGCACCAGTGATGTTTATTGTCTACATAAACGAGATCTACCAGATGGAATACAGAAATATATGAACATGTTTGCTGATGATGCTAAGATAATAGGGTAGATAAGAAATTTAGATGATTGTCATGCCCTTCAAGATGACCTGGACAAAATAAGTATATGGAGCACCACTCGGCAAATGGAATTTAATGTGAATAAATGCCATATTATGGAATGTGAAATTGGAGAACATAGACCCCATACAACCTATAAATTATGTGGGAAATCTTTAAAGAATTCTGATAGAGAAAGAGATCTAGGGGTGGTCCTAGATAGAAAACTGTCACCTGAGGACCACATAAAGAATATTGTGCGAGGAGCCTATGCTACACTTTCTAACTTCAGAATTGGTTTTAAATACATTGATGGCGAAATACTAAATTAATTGTTCACGACTTTTGTTAGACCAACGCTGGAATATGCAGCAGTTGTGTGGTGCCCATATCTTAAGAAGCACATCAACAAACTGGAAAAGGTGCAAAGATATGCAACTAAGTGGCTCCCAGAACTGAAGGACGAACAATGAGGAGAGGTTAGTGGCATTAAATATGCCAAAACTAGAAGATAGAAGAAAGAGGCGATATGATCACTATGTACAAAATAGTAATAATAATCGATAAAATTGATAGTGAAGAATTCCTGAAACCTGGAACTTTAAGAACAAGAGAGGTCAGATTTAAACTAACAAAACAAAGCTGCCGGGGAAATATAAGAAAATTCACTTTTGTAAACAAAGCGGTAGACGATTGGAACAAGTTAGGTGAGAGGGTGGTGGAGGCTAAAACAGTCAGTAATTTCAGAGTGTTATATGACAGAGTGCTGGGAAGACGGGACACCACGAGCGTAGCTCTCATCCTGTAACTACACTTAGGTAATTACCTGTCTCCCTCACTCACAACCCACCCACTACCTGTCTTCCTCACTCACAACCCACCCACCACCTATCTCACTCACAACCCACCCACTACCTGTCTCCCTCACTCACAACCCACCCACCACCTGTCTTCCTCACTCACAACCCACCCACCACCTGTCTTCCTCACTCACAACCCACCCACCACCTGTCTCCCTCACTCACAACCCACCCACCACCTGTCTCCCTCACTCACAACCCACCCACCACCTGTCTTCCTCACTCACAACCCACCCACCACCTGTCTCCCTCACTCACAACCCACCCACCACCTGTCTCCCTCACTCACAACCCACCCACCACCTGTCTCCCTCACTCACAACCCACCCACCACCTGTCTCCCTCACTCACAACCCACCCACCACCTGTCTCCCTCACTCACAACCCACCCACCACCTGTCTCCCTCACTCACAACCCACCCACCACCTGTCTCCCTCACTCACAACCCACCCACCACCTGTCTCCCTCACTCACAACCCACCCACCACCTGTCTCCCTCACTCACAACCCACCCACCTCACTCACCACCTGTTGAACTCACACCAAGAAGGAGCTTCAACCCTTCCCAACACATTAGTCCCGCATCAGTTAATGACAGGCTCTGGGCCCACCTTTCTAAACAGCTCACACAGCCTCCCTAATATTGTGTCATCCTTGTATATTATTGTATCGTGTGTTCTCACCACTCTGGTATAATGCTAAGGCTCCGGGGTCCCGGGTCTCGTTCTTGCAGCAGTGTCGTGCCTCATCTGTACCACACCATGAATGTATGGGAGTTCCAACGCAAACTAGAGGAACTGGACAGTGGCATAGTGGTGCATCCCCACTCCATTGTGTCTTACATAATACCTCCAAATGCCAACACCCATAAGATGCTTGCACACTTCAAACAGGAACTTGTGCAGGCCAAGAAAATCAAGTCCTCGTCCAACAGGATTTCGATCATTGACTCACTACAGCGAGTAGAGGCATACTTGAAAAACTGTGGCATCTCTCAGGTCAATGGTGTCGCTCTCTATTACACTCCTCACTACCGGAATGTTAAGACTGGCATGGACGGCCCCTTGGAGCTCTGCCTGGAGCCGCCCTTCAAAATCAAAACCACAGCTTACAAGTGCAGCAATAAAGTGTGGACGGAGCCACTTTGGGAGCAAGCCAGGGCCTGCCAGGGCCAGCTGCTGTATGCCATAATTGATGCCAGCGAAGTGATCTTTGCTCTCATGTCCCCACATGGGGAGCAAATACTACATAAGCACACCAACAATGCTCCCTCCAAACATGGCCGCGGAGGCCAATCTGCGGCCAGATTTGAGCGTCTGAGGACGGAAAAGATCACCCACTACATCAAGAACTGCTTTGACCAGCTGACCACACTGTTGACGCACCACAGAGACGTAGAGGTGGTCCTGGGAGGAGCCGGCCAGGTCAAAGAGACCTTTCTTAATATGCTAACAAAGCATAACAGGTCAAAGGTCAAACACACTGTGACCCTGGGAAAAAGTGGAGAAGCCGGCCTATACGAAGCCATAGAGAAGACCAAACACGTGCTGAAGACCATCGGCAGTGATGAAAATACCCGGATGATTGATGCGGTGTTCGAACACCTACAGCGAGGTGAGGTAGGCATGGTGTCCCTCGGGGAAACAGCTGTTACTTCAGCAGTAGAAGACGGTGCTGCTCGCACCATCCTCATCTGGGACCAACTCCCTCTACCCACACACCTCATCGACTCCTGTCAACACCACCACACACACGTCAAAGTCTTCGTCAACACTACCGACAACAGCAACATTCTCGTCAACACTTTCGGTGGGGTCGCCGCCTTGCACCGGTATAATTACACACCTGCAGAGGTGCTCCTCCAGCAGCTACACCTGAAGGAATGAATGCTTTGTTATTTCTTAAAATTTTCTTTGTGTAATGTATTAATAAATAAAATGTGTAAGGAATAATGTATTAATAAATGTGTATGGGTGCGCGTGTGTATGGTTGGCCACCACTGTTAGTATTGGTGAAGGATAGGGAAGGTGGTGCAAGTTACAGTCTTAATAACCAGCAAGTATACTTTAGCCCTAATCATAATAGTAAACTCTTGTAGCATATATACACACACCGAGGAGGAGGGTATACATCCCAGTGCATGTATCCCATATATTACTGTTATCCCCTCAGGCTTGGTGACGTACGCAGACGGCTCCAATGGCTTCCCCAGAAATGAAGGTTTCTTCCAAGACTGTCGGTTTATGCGAAAGAGTCGGTGTCCGCAGGTGGTGCAGCGGGCACAGAAGGTGGCCCACATTGCTCGTGCGCAGATGGACGACTGATCCACTCATACACAATGCCTTAAAAAAACTATTTTAAGTTCCAATATACTGTATAAGATCAAAAGTGTAACTGTTAGAAATGTTTTCTTCTGGCAATAAATGTATGACATCAGTATTGTTGCAGTTATCATCCTGTGAGATGGCAATATTAGGAGAGTTGCAGCACTTAACCTGCACTCTGTAGACCCTCATATACACTAAAGTAGCAGCACTTGGTTCTGTAGACCTTTACTGTGTTGTAAATACTGTACTGTACCTTTAATAATAACTAATTGTATAAGCCTGCTATATCCCTGGAATGAGTCTTGTTGCACAATGGTTTATGACCTTGTCTTACAATCAAGGGATCAGGGTTCTATCCCCAGAGCGAGACAAGAACGGCCGAGCATGTTTTCTCTGATGATGCCTTTGTTCACTTGGCAGTAAATAGGGACTATAGAGTCAAGACAACTGTTGTGGTTGCCAAGGATACAAAAACTATAGTACTGTATCATCATTTGCAGATGACACTAGGGTCATCGTAGGGCCTCGTAGCCTGGTGGATAGCGCGCAGGACTCGTAATTCTGTGGCGCGGGTTCGATTCCCGCACGAGGCAGAAACAAATGGGCAAAGTTTCTTTCACCCTGAATGCCCCTGTTACCTAGCAGTAAATAGGTACCTGGGAGTTAGTCAGCTGTCACGGGCTGCTTCCTGGGGGTGGAGGCCTGGTCGAGGACCGGGCCGCGGGGACACTAAAGCCCCGAAATCATCTCAAGATAACCTCAAGAAGAAGAAGGGTTTTATTTGTGTGTAGACAATATGGAGGACACAGGAGATCTGAGGTAAATTGGGTCTTTCAATGGGCCACAGATAATATGATGATGTTCAATATAAATAAATTCCAGCTCCTGTGCTATGGAAAACACAATTTTTTTTTATTTTCTATGGGAAACAAAAGATTTTTTTTTAACGGAATCAGATCACACAATAGAAGGAAAAAGCAATGTAAAGGATCTGGGATTATTCATGTTGGAAGACCTTATCTTTAAAGAACACAATAGACTGGGTTATCTTGAGATGATTTCGGGGCTTTTTAGTGTCCCCGCGTCCCGGTCCTCGACCAGGCCTCCACCCCCAGGAAGCAGCCCGTGACAGCTGACTAACACCCAGGTACCTATTTACTGCTAGGTAACAGTTGCAGTTATGGGTGTCACAACTGCAAGAAAAATGACAGGTTGGATAATAAGGGCCTTCCAAACATGGGATGCTATACCAATGATGATACTTTTCAAGACACTAGTGCTCTCTAGAGTGGAATATTGTTGCTCATTAACAGCCCTATTCAGAGCTGGAAAAATTGCTGACCTAAAGAGCGTGCAAAAATCTTTTACCGCTAGAATCCACTCTATAAGTCATCTAAATTCTTGGAACCGATTAAAAGTTCTAAATCTGTATTCACGCAGGCCAGAGAGATACATAATAATCTATACATGGAAAATATTAGGGGGGGACTGGTTCCAAATCTAAACATGAACACTACATCACATACTGACTACATTAGGTTATGACTACAATAGTTATTATGAATACAATAATGACTGCAGTAGGTTAGGTACGGAAATCCAATAGGAAAAACAGCTTTTGTCAGTATAGATGGAGAAAGTTACACAGGGAATAGAACAGTGCAAGAAGGATATGCAACTCACCTATGCACAAGTGGCCAAGGAGAAGGAAAAAATAGAAGCAGTAAAGGAAGCCAAACACTGCAGCAACCAGGATAAAACAAACATTAGGCTAGAAGTCAGAAAGAAACTGGCATCAAACCCAGAATTGATGCAAAACACAGCCGATCGAAGTCCCTATTAATTTTTTATTGCAAAGAAAAGGAGATGACAACTGGATCAGAAAGAGCTGTAGAAGAAGAAAACGTAGTAGATAAAAATTGTTGGGCTAGTGGAAGGTCTTACTGTGAGGCAGTGTGTCGAATGTCTGCGACTACAGGAGAATTAATTGGCAGGTACAAAAAAGGGAAAGATCAACCCTTGAGGATCACCTCTCAACGATACTAATCAGATGGAAGAAGTACTAAGAAATGTTAGGAAATTACAAAGTGACGAGGAAGAGAAATTATGGTCACTAAGACAAGATCTTTCAAAAGAAGATGGAGAGAAGCTAAAACTAAACCTCGTCGAGGCAAAACGTCTAAATGAGAGCAGGAACGAAGAAGAAATCAATTCTTTTTTCTACAAGGTGATAGGGGTAGGCAGGCCAGTAAAATGGTACAAAGAGGCAAACCAACAAAATCATTAGAGAGAGGGGTAGTGAAGAATATGGAGAATTTCCTGAAAATTGTATACACGAACATAGATGGAGTGAGATCAAAGATACTGGAGTTATGTGATGTAATACAGCTGCAGACGCCAGCCATTGTTCACTCACGGAAACAAAACTTGATGATATTTTAAATGAGGTCATATTCCCAAGGGAATTGTCGCTCTACCTTCCAGGCCCAACCACTTGGGCCTGGAAGGTAGAGCGACAGTCTCGCTTTAAGCAGGTCGGCGTTCAATCCGTGACTGTCCAAGTGGTTCGGCCCCATTCCTTCCGGGCGTCCCATCCCAAATTCTTATCCTGACCCCCTCCAAGTGCTATATAATTGTAATGGCTTGCCACTTTATCCTGATAATTCCCTTCCTAAGGAGCTACCAAGTTTGGAGACGACACTAGGAAATTTAGAAAAGGTGGTGGTGTTGCTGTATTGGTGAAAAAACACCTAAAGGTTAAAAACATAATGATTGCCAATCCACGAGAAGTTGACATAATAGCACTGGAGATGTGCAATTAGAATTATAAACTAATAATCATAAATGCATATAGTCCATCGCCATGCAACACACAGACAAATGAGGAGCTGGATAATAAACGAAAAGGCCTTATAACAATAATGAGAGAGATTATAACGGTAGCAGATATAGATAGATCATGACTGTTGGTAATCGGCAATTTCAACTTCAAATCCATAGACTGGGAGGCATATGAAGCTAGAACAGAGGACTTTTGGATCTGAAGATTCGTAACCTCATCCTGGAAAAATTCATGTATCAACACGTTAAACAAGCTATGGGGATGAGGGAAGGGGATGTTCCTTCAATGTTGGATTTGATATTTACCAGGAAAGAGGAGGTATTTGACATTCAGTACCTTCCTCCCTTGGGTAAAAGTGACCATGTCTTTTTGGGAATAAAGTATGCAATGTGTTATACAGTACAGTAATCTGGATGAAAATGAGGAAGTCGAAGCAGTTGAAAATCCTGATTTCAGGAGAGGACATTATGGGGAACTTAGAATTTTCTTTAAGGAATTTAACTTTAGAGACTTGCTGTTAAGAAAGGAAGTAAATGAGATGTATGTCTAGTTTTGTGAAATATATGAAAAAGGCACAACAAAATTTATACCAAAGCAGAGATGCAAAACTAGGAAACAGGATTGGTTCAACAGAAATTGCAAGAGGGCCAGAGACCAAAAGACACAAAAATGGAATCAATATAGGAAAAGGCCAAACCGGGAAGAAGGCCTCCCAGCCTTCAGGGAGGAACACAATGCTCCTGGTAACACACCAGGAGCATCGTCAGTGGTTCGCCCGAACGATATGCGTATAAGAGGCTGTAAGGATTGTATGTACAGGTACTCGAACAAAAACTGGAATTCGAAGTTGAAATACCAGTATGTCCAAAAGTGCGTGCCCAGCAGAAGACAAGGTGCAGTACAGAGGTGGAGGTGGCACCACACGGAGCCACCCCACCCCCAGAAGCAGGGAAAAGAACGAAGTGACTTCCCCACATATAAAATCCAGAACACCCCCAGCATCCAGAGGGCTATGACTGGAGAAAGAAGACGAGCGAGAAGCCGTAGAAAAACCGCAATAAACAAACGCGGAACACACGAGTACACCGCCCAGAAAACGAAACGAACACCCCGACCCCAGCACGCGAGGTATGAACCGCACCACCCATCTACGGGCGGTGCGGCTCGTACACCAGTCGTACATACACATATTGTACAAACACCAGCAAGGCGTGCGTAAGGAAGATGAGTCATGTCGAAACTGGAAGGAGAGACGATATGAAACAAAACATGGCGAAACAGAAGCGAAAGAAGACAAGGTGGATGGAAGGGGACCAACGAGTTCGAAAAAAGACCAGAGGGAAACCTCACCGGAAGTTAACAGTCATTCCAATAATATTAGAAGGTACGAAGAGGTCCGCGAACCAACGAGAACCACGACAAGCAAGCAGAAATGCACGTAGGTACATATGGACAAAAAGACACCCCTGAACAAGGGACATGCAGGGGACCTCGATACGAGGGGAACAGCATCGCGACGGAAGCACGAAAAGGGGTAGGAAAAGAGGGTGAAACACCCCCCAGGAATGACGGGGACCGACAGACCCAAAGGGACACGAAACCGAACCCAGGGAGGGGTTAGACCCGAAACCAACATGAATGCAGAGGGGGTAAGGAAAACCCCACTCTGAGGAACTGCAAACCCTGCACCGAGGGTACAAAGACCCAAGCGGGTCAAAACGGGGCCGAGGCATCCCAGGCAACCCCCTCCCCAACCCTGGGGAACCCCAACGGCAGGACCCGGGGCCGAGCCGTACCCCCAAAGCCCCAGCCTCACAAGGAAAAGCTGGGGCAGCCATGCAAAACTCTAAAGAAGGGAGCCCACTGGTCAGACCCATACGGCATGGCAGGAGGAACAGACGCGAATGCCCCTGCCCCCACATCATAATAGGAAAACCCCCAAGACTGCCCGAGTCTCAACCCAACCAGACCCTGTTCCAACCCCAAAACCCGCCTACGGTTCGGAGCCGGAAGCAAGGGGAGGAAGAATGCACAACAGAAGGGGGAAGGACTAGGAGCAGCAGAAGGAACCAGAGCCGAAGCGACCCCCACTCCCAAGTCCAGAACACCAACAACCAAAACGGGGCATCCGGGGCCACAACCAACCAAAATCATTGCAGCAACCAAAACCTAGCATGCAATGCCACAGCCGCCTGTACCCGCTTATCACGACCAGTGGCCCGGGTGAATGAGAGCACGTACAGACAACACCTGTTGCACGACTCCGG